GCGGCGCGGTCAAAAGGTGGTGTGCACGGACCCTTCGCGATCTTTTTGCGTGATGTCGCGTCGTGCGTCCAACCTTCATGGATGTGCTTAATTGCCGCTTTTGCCCGTGATGGTCAGCAGCGCACCTATATACAGTCTGAGTCACCATCGTCAGTCATCAAGTCACAGTCACGTTGTCGAGTCGTGAGGATGCTATGCGCTGATGTGTGCTCATCCCTGCACAGACACTCAACACCCCCCCTTCCGTGCGTGATTCGCATTCCTTTGCACCCTCGAAACCCATCTCTTGACTCGGCTCTTGCAGCCACATCCCTGCACATCCCTGCACATCCCTGCAAAGCCGAAGCCGTCAGCTTATCACTGTTCCGCGCACCTGTCTGTGGGTATGTCTACCTCCAGCTCATCCGCCACATCAGGCCTGGCTCGCTATCAGCTCGACATTCCAACATCCGCTCGAGCTTCCGGCTCCACGCGCACCTCACCCCCAAGTGACCGCTCCGACTCGTCAGATTCGCAGCATGGCTTCTTCTACATTCCCGACTTTATCACTGCGGAGGAGGAGAGGTATTTGATGGGGAAGATACATAGCGCTCCTCAGCCAAAGTGGAAAGTCTTGCAAGCCAGAAGGTGAGCTGCGGTCATCACAGCAGCACGTGGCGTGCTTGTACGAGACCATGCCACTCACTCAAACATTCTGTCGCGCATCCGTCTCTTCATCCATCACGTCCATCTTGGAGCGGCTCGATCATTTGCAGGTTGCAGCACTGGGGCGGTCAGATCGCTCAAAAGAGCGGCACGTTGATTCCGGAGCCTCTGCCAGATTGGCTGGTCAGGTATCCCAACATCATGCAGCGTGTCAGGGAGACCAAAGCGTTCGTCGAGTCCAAGCATGAGGGTCCTAATCATTGCGTGAGCCACATTGCTGCATGGGTTTACGTTTGCTAGCAAAGCGCTCACACTGGCTCGCCGTCTGGTTTGCGCAGCTTGTGAACGAGTACGAAGCGGGACAGGGGATCATGGTGAGTATGCGAGCATGGTATCGTCCAAGCGGATATTACAGTTGACGGCCTCCATGCAATGACGCAGCCTCATGAAGATGGAGGTGCCTACTTTGCAGCCGTAGCGACCCTCTCGCTAGGTTCGCATACACTGTTAGACATCTATCGCTGGGCTCCGGAAGAGCCCACTGCGACAGGCTCTACAGACCATGAAGAAGCAGACGTCGATGATGCTTCGG